GATCTGCGCAACGGAACCGGCTTCCCTGCTTTTTCTCTTGCATCCTCTGAATGTACGGAGTTTTCAGTATTTGTATTGAATTCACATTTTTCACTTGAATCACATTTTTCACTTGAATCACATTTTTCACTAGATTCACATTTTTCACTTGATTCACATTTTTCACTATGAATTCCCACTGAAGAATCATCACCATTCACATCTGTCTGTAACCGATCTGCTGGTATGTCTGATTGTGTTTCTTTATCCTTGGAATCTTTCTGCGCTGAAATTTTCTCCATAGGTTGAGGATAGAGAGTTGACCATCCACTTCCCTCATCTTTTTCGGTGTTGTCCACAGCATCGACTTTCTTCAGGGAATCACAAAACTCTCCTGTATTTAACAGTTCTGTTCTGGTAACTGTTTTCTTTTCTCCTGAACCATCTAACAACTGTACTGTGTATACGTTATTTTCACGTTTTTCAAGTACTTTGTATGGAGTTGAGTTCCAATGATCTTGAATCTTGTTTCTGCCCAAAATGTGATTCTTCAGTAACACTATGGATCCTACTGGAATAGGTTTTTCATGTGCGTTAGCATTATAACGATCTCGTCTATTCTCAGCATTTTTCTCTATGTTATCTGAAGCTAACTTCATCATATCCTGCATTTTCTTGTTATGCTCTAGAATCCAGTCATCCACACCTTCCTGATTCTCCTCTGAATTTAAAAGCAAGTCTATTGGTAAACGTGGGTTTCGTCCGAACATCAAATAGTATGGCGACAAACCTGTAGACGCATGTGGAGTTGCATTGTAGATGTATGTCATCTCAGCTAAATAATCAGGCCATCGCTTTTTCTTCTCGGGTGGTAAAGTTTTTAATCTGTCATGCAACGTACGATTATATCGCTCACATTGTCCATTCCCAATAGCGTGATAGGGAGTCGTCCTTGACTTTTGAATGTTATAGATCTTGCACAATTCCTTGACTACATCACTTTCGAAATTCCTTCCTCTATCAGAATGAATACGATGAGGTATGCCGAATTTGAAAAACCAGTCTTTTACCAATACTTTTGCCACTGTAACTGCCTTTTGGTTTGGGGTCACTATAGCTTGTGTAAACTTTGTAAACACATCTGTTATGATGAGCACATTTTCTTTTCCATCACTAGATTTCTCGAGGAGAGTAAAATCTATGGCGACAATTTCCAATGGCTTATGAGCTATCAAACTTCCAATTGGCGGTCTAACAGTTGGTATAGGAGCCTTGGCAATCATACAGCGCTCACATTTCTTGATCCAATGTTGGATGTCGGAATACATTCCTGGCCAAAAACATCTCCTTTTCACGAGTGCGAAAGTTCTCTCAATTCCTTGATGACCAGAATAATTATGCAGAGAGTCCAATACTTGATATTTCAAGGATTCTGGAAGTATTAACTGCAAAAATTCTCCCTCTGAATCTTGACATTTCTTGTATAGAACACCATCTTTGAGAAATAATTTGTCCCATTTATGCAGTAGTTTTCGTGCAATGGGTGGTTCCTTCCCGATTAATCTCAATGTTGGTTTATGTCCTTTCTTTAACCAGGATAGAACGGCAGCCAACGAAATGTCTTCCAATTGTAATTTTGCAAGCTCTTCCTTGGAAAATTCTGGAAACATCTTAGTTGCTGTAAACTCAGAATCATCTTTTGATTTTTCCTTAGACTGCAGGCTCTGAACATCAGTTAATGTTGTACTTTTCACCAAATTGGTAAGAATTTCTTCTGAGTATACATGTTCTGTTTTATCTGTACACCATGCCACTGACATTTCCTCGGTTAAAATGGATTCTGCATGAACAGTTTTTCGACTAAGTGCGTCAGCATTCCTATTTGAACGTCCTGATCTGAACATGATCTCAAAGTCAAATTGCGCCAGTTGAGCAGCCCATCTCATTTCTACGGATCCTAACTTAGCAGTCTTAAAATGGCTTAACGGATTGTTGTCGGTGTAAACAACGAATTTTCCTCCTAACAGATAGTCTCTGAATTTTTCTGTTATAGCCCATTTCAAACTAAGTAGTTCAAGTTTCATAGAACTGTAGTTAGACATATTTCTCTCTGTTGGACGAAGACTTCTTGAAGCGTATGCTATGACAACACGTCCTTTATCCTGATCTTGCGATAGCACTGCGCCTAACCCGTCGTAACTTGCATCAATTTCCAAGATGAACTGTCTCTTGAAGTCCGGGTATCCCAAGATAGGAGTTGTCGTAAGTGCTTCTTTCAACTTCATAAATGCATGATCACAGTCTTCATTCCATCTCGCACAAAATGAACCATCTACCGTTTTTATCCTTGTTCGCTTGGTTTTCTTCTCCTGTTTGGTAAGGATAGCATGTAATGGGGCAGCTATTTTACTAAAGTTTTTCACAAATTTTCGGTAGTACGAACATAATCCTAAGAATGAACGCAATTCCCTCTCAGATTTTGGTTTAGTCCAAGTAGTGATGGCAGATATTTTGCTGGGATCAGTTTCAATGCCTTTTCTGGAAATTTTATGTCCCAAATACTTGACTTCTTGTTTGAAGAAATGGCACTTCTTTGGATTAATTTTCAAACCGTGTTTGGTCAGTCTTGAAAATACAAAATCAAGTCTTTCTAGGTGTTGTTCAAAAGTTGATGAGTAGACCAAAATATCGTCTAAGTATATCAGTAGAAACTCAAAATTCTTGTCTCCAAGACATGCTTCCATCAAACGTTGAAAAGTTCCTGGACTGTTACACAAACCCATAGGCATTCTAAGGTATTCGTACAATCCTCCGGATCCTATACGGAATGCGGTCTTTGGTATCGACTCATCATCTAATGCGACTTGATAGTAACCTTGCGCTAAATCAATGGTGCTGTAATACTTTGATCCACATAAAGCATCCAATGACTCTTCAATTCTCGGTAAGGGAAAAGCATCCTTAACTGTCTTTTGGTTAAGAAGACGAAAGTCTACACATAAACGAAGTGATTTATCCTTTTTCCTAACCAATACAGCTGCAGCTCCGTACGGACTAGTACTTGGTCTAATTACTTGCTGATCAAGGAACTTCTGAATGAGCTGTTTCACCTCTTGCATCATGTGGGGTGGTACCCGTCTATGTGGAACAGCGATGGGTTTGTTATCAGTCAGTTCTATGTGGTGCTTTACTGTTGATGTATATCCCAAGTCGTCTTCATCTTTGCAAAATGCTGCTTTATGTTTCTGCAGTAAGTGTACAAGTTTTCGTTGTTGTTCACTACTAAGAGTGGTATCTATATCAAAGTCATGTCCATGTAATTTGATTTTTTCATTTGCATGTTCAGTAATATCTGAATCTATTTCTGTCTCTCCATCAATTTGGACTTGAATTTCATTATCCTTCACTGTCACTTGAACAGAATTATGTAAGGAATCTGCTATTTCTACTTCTTGAACTGTCCCTATCCTCATCTTAGGATTTAACCACACATCCTCAGTCCCTAGATTTATCACTCGTACTGGCACTCTTCCATTTGAAGTCTCTGAATAAGAGTCCATCACCATCACATTGCGTGGTAAATTTCCATGAGGACTTTGAATTGCCTGTACTAGTACATTCGAACATCCTCGGCTTTGTCGTGTAGTACACATCACAGTCACCATGGATTCAGCTGGTACTTTTACTGGAATTCGTCCAACTTTGGCAAAACTAAGCCTGTTAACTTCTGATGTCATTTGATACATGGATAACACAACATTCCATGTGTCACACAAAAGTTTATCTTTGGTATCAGACACGGACTCCAAATGAGTTTTCAGAAGTTTGAAGAAATTACTTCCAAGGACTCCTGGTACTCGGCTCTTCCGTTCTCGACCAAAATCGTCATCGGGATCCCTCACAACTAATACACCAACATTTGGAATTGTGACTATATCTGGGATGCTAATCTCAACTTCCGCATATCCAAGGTATGGAATAGGTAGGTTGTTAGCTCCAGTCACCTTCATCCAAGAAGTAACATCATGAAGTTTTGGCTTATTATCAAGTAGACTTCTAAAAAATGTTTCTGTCACTGTTGAAATTTGAGAACCAGTGTCTAACAAACACATTGTATCTTGGTTTTCAATTTTCACTGACTTTACGGGACAAGGTCCAATTCCTTTGTCAAAAACTCTGTCACGAATGTCTGTTTGCGAGTCTTCAATTTCCACTCCTGCAGTTCGACTCTTCACTACAGAAGTTGTTATTCCCCCTGTTTATTAACATCTTGCTTGGAGTTGCTTTTCCTAGCTTCTGATGGGAAAACAGATGGACACTGATTTGCTTTATGACCCTTGCCACTGCACTTGAAACATGTCACATAGTTTTTCTTAACATTGTCAATCTGTCTCTTAGGCTGTTTGGGTTCTGCACATCTTGCGGTAGAATTGAACTTTTCTGTTAGCGTCTGCAATTCTTTGCTGTGTCTGTCCAGTTGCTGTTGTTGCTTCAGTAGTAACTTCTTTATGTCTTCTAACGAATCAACTAACTGTACTTTGGCTCCTTCTGATGAACACTGTTGTGGTAGATTAAGACTTCTATAATCTTCCGACCAGTCAATCACTGTCTCTCTAAATTTAGGAAAGTTCATATCCTTGAACTGATGTAAGTAACGTCTCATCTCTCTTCTCAGACTGTCATCCCGAATTCCATCAACAAATTTTTCTTTCAACATTGTGTCCTTATCGGTAATCACACTTGAATCCTTGTTGTGGATCTTCTCCATAAGCTTCATCAACGCCAGTGAGTACTTTTGTAGAGTTTCACCCTGTTCTTGGTTGCGCTGGTAAAACTGCTGTTGTAGTGCTGCAATAGTTTGGTAATTAGTAAACACTGAACGTATAATGTTAAATATTTTTTCTGGAGAATCCCTTTCGCTCTCTGGTCGTAAGCGTATTTCGTCCTTACATTGTCCACCAATGTTGTCGTAAATGAAATCAAGTTTGGCATCTAATGGTTCGATTGTTTTTAAGTGTTGTTTTACATCATGAATCCACTCGCATATGTCTGGGTCATTAACACTTATAGGTCGTCCACACAGTTTTGGTATTTTCTTCTCCCTTGCTATGAAAACAGTTTTATGTTCTTCTGATTTAGCGAAACTCATGTTATGTACATCGGCATTTAATTTTTCAATAATGGTGTTTGCTTTTATTAGTTCATGTTCTAATTTTTCAGTCTTCATAGTTTGAAATGTCAATTTGGCTTTTAATTCTTCTTCCGACATGGTAATAAATAATACACTGTAACTCTCCTACCAAATGAATCCTAAGTTGCTCTAGTTGTCCGAAACAGCTCTTCACATCATATCGTCACTGAACCATTAACTCTCATGTTGATACTGGAGACCTAAATTATGCACATCACACTGCCATATAATCCGAGTTAACCATTAATATATCCTGTCCACGACGCCATTTTGTGATAACCAGATTTGTTCTTTTTATAAGTTTATTAATTATGAATATCAATGATATTACAAATTATAATGGTAATGATATTGGCAGTAATAAATGACAGTGTGCTGTACAAATGAAAAATAAGAAAAACATGACATTACTTACAAATGTAAATTCACATGAATATTATGAAGCATTACTAAAAAATATGAATAAAAATAATTTTACAAAATATGACGGACAGTTGACCTTTTCATTATAAAGATTTATAACATATTACACTCATAATAATCTCATGAATAAATATAACATGCTTTCATATAAATCTTACCCCAACTAGGGCCTCAATGCATAAACTCAGGTCAAGGTCACCGTCGACCACAGTGATACTGTACAACCTAACCAAAAATCAATATACCTATGTTACCTCTAATTGTAGTTGTAAACAATAAAAAAGTATATCTCGTAAAATAATTTTAAACTTCTTCATAACAAAAGTCTATTAAACATCACCAGAAATAAAATGAATAGCCAATATTATATGGAACGTTTATCAACAAAACATGCTGAACTTATTCTATTAAAATAAATATTTTCAGACTTTACAAATATTAAAATAACCCTACCAAAACATACTTTACTATCATGAGCAAAGCTATATTAACAAAAAAATGTAGACTTACAGTTGGTACACCTAGCTAGAGATAATATTCAGCTTCAACAATGTTATTGTTCAACACACAGCCTTCATAGCGCGAAACATTTCGTGCAAAATCATAAACTATGAAGTCACGTGATCACAGGAAGTGATGTTGAAATTATCAAAATATTAAACAATACATTTAAATAAAAACTTGTGTGTAGTTTCCATCATTATTTGAAAAATGACAATGACAAAAATTATTTTAAATAAAAATCTTAAATACTTTAGCTGAACAGAATTTCTGTTACTAAAAATAGATGCGGAAATTACCCTCAATGACAAACAGTGTATGAAAACAAAGAGAGATAACTCTTTTGTGAAAATCACCACATCACATATTTTTGCCAAATTAATGATTGTTTGCAACAGGGGAGATACCGTTGCCAAATTCATTGTTCTTTGTACTCAGGAAATATCCCGCTGAGCTCCCCTTAACATTATTTGTGTTATATACTTATTGTCATTTAATAAATGACAATTCTCACTCAGTATACATTGTTTTGTTATATTTCAACTATAGCTGTAGCCTAGCCAGATCACTAGGATTACATATTTATACTTATGGTTAAAATAATTCCATTTTTTCTGAAATCGTTATTTATGTCAACCGTTGAACATCTATTATAAAGGGTTTTCGTGGCGCTTGTAAAGGAAAATCAGTAATAAACTTGATCCATACCTATGATTTTTTCTCTAGATAATGTACAATGAAAACTGAAATTGTATAATTTCATCTCTCAGAGCCAAACAAATTAACATAACGATTTTTAAAAAGGTTTCACTCACAAAATATTTGGATAAACTGAACAAACACACATTTCTAAAGATTTAAAACTATTCCCAGCCTATCTTATCAATTTACTGTATTCAGCCGATGAAAACTTTAATTACAAATGTTAACATATGGATACGATGACCTTGTCAACGATTCAATACAATCCACTAAAAAGTCAGTGCCTCTGATGTAATAAAGGTCTGTGTTTGCCATGCTCTTTATTTGTACATTGTTTGAATAGACCGATGAGCTTGAATAAACTTGATTTTAACAAATTTTGCTTCACATAAATTACAAATTTAAGACAAATTACCATAACCTCGGGTTTTTTCTGGTTTGAAAATTGAAAACTCCATCATGATTAAAGTTGAATCCGACCTTCATATAATATACTTACGATACCTACAAAATGTAATTGGCAAAGTAATGTTTCCTCAGTAAGGATTAGTTATACTTCACACATATAGTGACATTTGTGAGACGGACGAATGTCTAGACATGCGAAGTTTCGGTCGCTTCGAGATCTCATCGATGTTTCTATCGCGTTGTTAGACTCGTAAAGCGGACAATATCCGGGCATAAACATTCCGTCGTGGAATCTCCATTTACCACCAATTTTTTCCCCTTGGATCCACACTTGGATAGGATTTTTTAAATGGCATATGGTTCTACAACAAGAAATAGTAGAGATTTCAAAACTTATACAAGCCATGTGCACGGCACCGGATCCCCTCTCTGGTTCAAATTTCCGTGTTTGCAGTACTCCTAATTTTGCATTGTTTACATTATGGACTTTTGAGCTTGAACACTGCTCATTATCTCCATATATTTTATTACCTATCAAATACAGCAAATTTATGCATAAAAGGTTTTCCTCAGAAAATTAAATATACAATAGGTCATATTTTAATTCTGATAAGAAATTAGGTTGAAAAATCTATCTTCTTACTGCTAAAGAACTAGGTTTTAATTACCGAGGTGATTCTTTAAAATATCGTATTTCTTCTGCGAATCGATTCGAATCAGGTCCCCGCCATCTTCAGCACAACTGCTGACAGCTTCCGGGTAGGTCAATGTTTTGGAAACATACTTCAAACAGGTGGTGAAATTGGTAGAACTATAATAACTGTAACAAGGCGGACATATATCTGCAAAATGCAAAATAATTATGATTAATATTTCATTTGGGAATACAGTAAAGTTTACTGGAGCTTGATTTGGTTCATTATCTTTTAAAAGTAGCATTGTTGATTTTTTTGTTAACTTTTGTAAAAAAATATATCGGAATCCTTAAATTCTTAAAACCATTTTGGATCCGGTTTTTGACCTTGTTTAGAGTATGTATGCGTATTATCGTATAATTTGGCGCGATTCCGGTCAGAAAATATGTGAACAAGTACACTCAAACTTAAAGATGCTGTATCATATTTAATTTGGATGTTATTTTTAAATTCATAAAAAGCTACTTAACTCAAACCCGGCATTGAAAAGAAGTTGATGTTGCATTGCATGCTTTCAGCAATCTTCTTTCTAGTCAGCTTTCTGTAAATTTAGTGCCAGGTACATGTTTAATGACACTGTTTTTCGGAGCTTTTCTACAGACACTTCAAATAACTGTGCCATTTTTTAACACCTTTCATATTTTTTAAAGATTTGCATTTCGATATATTTCTAACCTTGGGGGTTTAAGGGTTCATGTTCAATCATATCACTAGCTTTTCAGGTTTATATTGTTCATGTAGAAATAAACATCATTTAATAATTTTTTGAAAAACAAAATCCTAGCTGGTACTAAAATTACTCATTTTTTTATTGTTGCGCATTACATGTTTGTCTTGTCATTTGCCGGTGGATTGGCTACAAATTCTGACCTAAACTCTTCACTTATGTCCAAGAGTAGCTTAGAATCTTTTTCATGTCAGCACTTACTGCGACATTGGACCTCAGTTTGAACGGTTTCTCTTAGGAACTGGTCTCAATGTATCACATAGCTGCAGAACAATAGCTCTTCGAAAAAAATATTTTGACAGACCGGAGAGCTACAGTGCCACCCATTGTAAAAACTGTATACTTATTGCGCAAAAATGTTGCGCTTAGTTTTGCATTTATTCTTACCAAATGCTTACCTTAATCGCACAAAATATAGATTAAAAAATTCCTTACTTCTCTGTGAAGTAATCTCGTTGTTGACCTCTGCACGAAGTGCGTTTGACCGAATTATCTTGAAAACCAAAATGGACGATATTTCTTATGATCTCAGTGTCATGGCCAGGAGGGCTATTAACAACAATTACAGGGAATATTTTGTTGTTGAAACAGTGAAAGAATTTGTTAGGAACACACGGTAAGTAATATTTTACGATTACAGTTAAAACATGGAGAAATAAACCGAGAAACAGAGCACTTTTTGGGTGCAATTAATATACAGCTTTTTTTAATGGGTGGCACTGTGGCTCTCCGGTCTATCAAAAGGAATATATATATATATTTTTCGGAGAGCTATAGTTCTGCATCTACGTACAGCAGTTGGAATTAAACCTGCAACTTTGTAGCAGACCCGCTAAACACTTCGCCAGGCGGGCGATTAGGGTATTTTACAAGTTTTCTATATATTAAACTCAAACTTACCCCTTTTCATTGTTTATGACCTCCATCCTTGTTGACTTAAGACATTCCCTGTTAAATCATGGCAATACATACAACGTTGATCAAGAATGTTATAACTCAACATGCAAAATGTCAGCTGGGTTCTCAAACATTTGGATAAACATCGTAAGAACTTTGAATATCGTTGTATTGCAGACAAGAAGAAGTCGGCATGATTCCAGATTTCAACGCATAACTGATTTTCATGCAAGTTGTAGATTTAGATAACATACAGATAAAAAGTAAACAAAGCATAAACTTTGGTTTGTTCATTAGAGTAAGATGAATTTAATGTTTCGTTATATCCGTCCTGTTTATTCTACTGTATACTTCCTAAATGGATGCAAATTTCGCCGTAAATTAAGAAAATAGGATAATACCTTTCTAGTTTCTAGAGTAAAAAGGAACCCAAATGTGAAGGCCATATCCTTTACGTGAGTTATACAGGCATAGACAGTTAAAATAGCCCTTAAACTCTTTCATAAGTTGTCTTGACCACTTAAAAATTTCAAAGGCATTGTCAATAACAAAATTGAAATCTTTTAAACAATTATTGTAACACATTGATTTCTTAAAATGTGTCAATTTTATATTGTTTAAATTGGTAAATTGGGATGCCCTATTCTTGCTTTAATACCACTACTTTATTGAATTACTAGTAAACGGGTGTATATTAAACAGGAACCAGCATTATATAGAATATATAATTCCGGATTATGATATCAGATAAACAAACATTTGTGTAAGTAACCTTTGTTTCTTTTTATGACCTACTGTGGCGGAAGTTTATTGTTGTGCTTTGAAGTATTTAGAATTTTCCTAAAACGCATAATTGCCGCCCTAAAACGTATTCTTAAAAGCTTAGCGCATTACTTCAGCATATATATCCCTATATATTTCCATTTCAATTTGTTTGGGCTTTTTTCGTGATAACTCTTTAAATAGCTTATTTGATGTCATGATCATTCTACCGGATGTAAATTTTGCCAAGCAATACTTCAGCAGCTAAGGAGGCCCAATATGCATGTAAATTTCGTGCAGCTGTCTCTGTATTTTACGCATGTGGGCGGGAACTTTTGAAAATGAGATGGGAGGTCTCGTGTAGGTAAAATCTATTAGACATATTTATACCCCAATAGAAAAGCGGGAAGGTATATAGTAATCGGGATGTTCGTCCCTCCGTCTGTTTCTCTGTGGGGTATCCATCTGTTATCCGCAACACCCCCCATACTACTGAATAAAATTTGATGAGACTTGGACAGAATCTTTATAACATATTGCATATTTTACTTTTTGATTCGACACATTTTTTTGGGTTTCCCATAGCAAAACATGGACACTGCAATTGTATTCATAGTGTAGCGGCTTAGACCAAAATTTCAGCAAAATAGTTCACTTGTGAATACAAGCATGAAATTTGGCATAAATGTCTATCTGATACCACTAAATCTAAAACGTCGCTGGCCGCCGCGATTTCCGCCATTTTCAAGATGGCCGCCACTTAAACAATATGATGATATTTTTATCCATTTTGGCATCATATACAGTCTTTTACAACCAAAGTAATTCTTATACAAATTGATTTTCTTATAATGCATTTGTTTATATCGTTCCCTATTATAGATTTACATATAGTTACACTGAATAATATGTATCATCACAGTAGCGAGAAGCCATTTTTTAATACGTGTAGATGTTTCACAAAAGCTTCACAGGCGTTCCCTCACTATCCAGTGGGCCTAAATACTAAGTAAAATCTTATACTAGTATTTGAAAGTCCTCAGTAAGTGAAATAATCCATCAAGAAACGAAAAATTTCTTGTAGTGAAACACTCCTTCAAGGCAAGGTAAAATCTCAATAAATGAAATGATCCTCCATGCAATGAAAA